TCTCAGGGTCCACCTCTTGCCACCTTTCCCTTCTAGAGAGTCCGCTTTCTCCCCCCACCCCCCCACCCCAGCTGAAAACATTGCTTCTTTGGTCCCCTTAGTAACACTTAGGACCCAGCGAGGCCTTTCGTGAACTTCAGTAGCTGGGGATGCTAAGCCTCCAAGGCCTGTCCCTCCTCAAGATGATATCCCCACCCCCCAAGCCATCACACTTCCACAGCCTCCTGGTGACAGAGGCAGTCCAAGTCCTTGTGTCCTTTTGGCCGGTGAGAGATTGAGGGCCTAAAAAGTTGACGGGTCAGGCTTGCTGTTGAAGAGAACTGGCTTTGCAGGCAAAGGGCAAATGTTGTATGATTCCACCTGTGTGAATATCTAGAACAGGCAAATTCATAGAGATGGAAAATAGACTGGAGGTGAGCAGGGATTAACGAGACAGGGTGAGGGTTGGAGGGATTGGGAAGTTATTGCTTAATAGTTACAGAGCTTTCATTGGGGCTGATGGAAAAAATTTCAAAATAGCGGTGATGCTGGCACAACACCATGAATATAATCAGCGCACTGAATCATGCCCTCGAATGGTTAAAGAGCCAACTTTTATCTTATATGTATATTTTACCACAACTTTAAAAATAAGCATCCTCGTCAAAAGAATGCAATGAAAGAGCCTCAGTCCACCAACATGAGGAAGATGCAGTCTGCGGGGGCGCCACACAGGCGTGCCACAGACCTGGCTTTGAACCCAGGCCCCACCAGCTACGAGCTCTGTGTCCTTGGGCCAGCTTCTCACCTTTCTTTACCTAAGTTTCCTCGCCCGTCAGATGAGGTGATTGTGGGGATTAGATGGAAAGGCATATGAGCGCCTGGCACGGAGCAGTACAAATCTCTGTGAAGAGGAGCTGTCACTGGTATGAGGATCGTGTTCATCGTTATTACTAAGCAGCTCAGGTTCACAGTCAGGGAGGGGATGTGCGCTGGCTGGTACCCAGGGCTCTGTTTGGAGGATGGTCTTGAGGGTAATGAGAGGCGTGCGGAGGGAGAGGGCTGCGGTGAGGGTGGGGGTTTGGAAAGCATGTTGTGCAACAGCGGTAGGGCAGAAGGCTTTATCTCCTTAGGTGTCCCAACAGGTTAAGGCAAGGGTAGAGCAGGTCTTGATGAGGCTCTGTATGGGGTAAGGGTTCGATCCCTGAAGGGCTAGGTCCCCGCTCTGCCCTGCTTTGCTCCCTGAATACACACGAGGCCACAAAACGTGGGCGACTCTGTCCCTGGACACCCAGCGTCTTCTCTGCAGGACAGGCTAATCTGGCGTGTTAGCCTCCCGTACAGGAGTAACTGGAATTGTGTGACTTTTCGCCCTGGACAAATCTGTTCAGAGCTGGGAGCCAACAGGATATAGGGTGCTCATCCTCTGAACCACTGTGTGACCTTGCACCAGAACCTTCCCCCTGTGGATCTGCAAAATGTCCTCTGTGAAATGAAGGTTGGTGAGGAGGGTCCCTTCCACCAGGGACACTGGGATTTGTTTGTAGGTAAATCGTCAAATTGGAAGGGTGATGCCATCACCTGATTAGCAACAGAGTTTATGGAGTTGTTTTAAGATTTACTTAGAAGCAACAGAGCTCCACTTAGCTTTTTATGCTCTGTGTAAAGTTTTGGACTGGTGCCTGGCACATAGTAGGTGTTTAATAAATGTCCTGAGTTTCTTCCACATACAGAGCTTGGCTGAGCTTCCTGAAAGATCCAGAGACGGTCACAGCCCATTTTCTGCATTCGAGGGCCATCTCATCCTTTACTTAGTCATACAAGGCAGCCCCTCATGAAAGAATAGGCAACCTGAAAGTGCATCTTCCAAGGGCATGGATGTAAGTGCTGGGGGGTCCTGGGGGAGGTGGTCAGGAAAGGAGGCAGAGGAAGGGGCGAGGAAGACAAGGAGGATGGGGCAAGTGCTTGACTTGGACCATAAGTAGGCAGAGAGAAAGAGAGAGGGCCATTCTAGCTGGTGACCATATGTGTGTGTGCCCGTGTGCATCTGTGTTTGCCTAAAATGCGCAAAGACGACTCACCTCAGAATGGAAGGTGTGGGCCTTCGGCTCCCCTAGGCAGCATCTTACTTTGTGGTCAGTTGTGTCGCCCATGGCAGTAAGCAGGCATTGCCTGCCTTGAGCACTAGGAGCAAGCCCTTGTGCATAACCCAGGGTGTAATTAATTTAATTATTTCAAAAGCCCCTTTGGTATTTCACAGGGGTCATGCCCCTGACTGTGGGCTTGAATACAACTGCAGCAGGTTTCAATAAAATCAATTAATGTAATTTGATTTGGTTTTATGTACTTGGAGCCGGTGCCTCTTGAACTCAGTATGAAAATTATTGTAGAATAAAAATGCATATGAGTCCTCAAGCCCCGTGTCCTTGGACTCTCTTCAGGGAGCCTGCAGTGCTGATCACAAAAGCAAATCCCTGCCCCAATCTGGCAGGAGCCCCTGCCCACTGCCCCACCAGTCACCTCCAGCCTTGGACAGTGTTGATGGGGGCCGTGTGGGCTGTTTAGACAACTTCCTCACTTTGGGAAACACTTTCTTACCTGGTCGGGAAGTGAAAGCATTTCCATTTTGCTTGCATGAAAGAAACTCAGAGAAGTTTTGATTGACCTTGGTCACCAGCTCACTGGGATCTTTTGTTGTTGCTGTGAACTATTAATAAATTCATTGGAGATACTACACTGCAGTGGGTTGAACCTCAGCTCTGCCCCCAAAGAAACACATGAACTTGGACAAGTCCCTTGACTTCTCTGGGCTTTTGTTTCTTTATCTTTAAGTGAGAGGGCTGGATGCCAGCTCGCAAGGCTCCTTCCAGCTCCACGAGTCATATTCCATTAGATTGCTGACCTTCCTGCATCAGGGAGCCTGTCCCAGGGTGGAGTCCCACCTCATTCCTGCTCCACTAAGGAGGGCTCTGAGCCCGCCCATGGAATGGTTGATGAGGCTAAGCCCTGCACCTCCAAGGATGAGAGATTCTCCCCCACATTCCAACAGGTCAGAGCAAGTATGGTTTTCAAGAAGGGTGGGGGGTTGCAGCTGAGGAGGCCCAGAAAGCTTCCGGCCCACCCTGTTGTTTTACAGATGAGGGAACCCAATTCTAGTCTCACAGCCATAGCTGTGGGTAGCAATGGTGTTCTGCCGCATTGACAGCCATTTAAAAGGGTGGAGATTGTGTCCAGGCCTCCTATTTCAACTGCCCTTAAAAGTCCTTTTTCCTATAAGGGCCTCCCCAGTGAAGCAAATGCTGACACCCGTCCTGGAGCAACTGCATACCCCTCAAGCCCAGTGACTGCTGTCTTGATCCTGGTGGGAGAAGGCTGGGGGCGGGGTGAAGGGGGGGAGCTGGGGGAGGAGGGGGAGCTGTTCAGAAGCACCCCCACCCATGCCTGGGATTCCACCCTTAGCAGTTTATTTGTTCTCACGGATGCTAAGGGCATGCCCCTTCTCCCACAACACTTCCTCCTGACCTTGGAATTGACTCTGAGCTTGGATCCCATTGAGTTAGTGGTATTTTTTTTTACGTTTAAGTCTTATCTCCCCAGAGCTCCCACATGGCAGACACTGAGTCTGTCCTTTCCATCCCCCTGACCTTCCCTATGCCTCTCATTCACTGAGAGGCACCTGTTTTGCTCTGAGAACTGCCCTAGACACTCTCCTGACATTACCTCATTCATTTCCTGCACTGACTCTGCAAAGTGGGCACTGTTTTACTGTTGGGGGACTGTGGTTCAGAAAGGAGAGGTAACTTTCTCAAGATCACACAGCTACTAAATGACAGGGCTGGGATTCAAACCCACATCTCACTCCCAAGACTCTTGCACTACACCAAGTGGCCTTCCTTGCCCATAACAGGTGCCTAATAGATCTCTGATGACAGATTCTACTCTATTTCCCTTTGCTAAATGGCAAACCCCCACCCAGGGAGATAATAATAATATTCAAATTGTTATTTGAAATTAATACTGATATTATTATTTATGAATACAAGAGACTCCAGTTCGATTCCTGGGTCAGGAAGAGGTGCTGGAAAAGGGAAAGACCACCCACTTCAGTATTCTTGGGCTTCCTCGATGGCTCAGCTGGTAAAGAATCTACCCACAATGCAAGAGACCTGGGTTCAATCCCTGGGTTGGGAAGATCCCCTGGAGAAGGGAAAGTCTACCCACTCCAGTATTCTGGCCTGGAGAATTCCATGAACTGTATAGTCCATGGGGTGGCAAAGAGTCAGACACGACTGAGTGACTTTCACTTTTACTTTATGTGTGCGGGTGTGCAAGTGTGCTAAATCATTCAGTCGTGTCGGACTCTTGGCCACCCCATGGACTATATAACCCACCAGGCTCTTCTGTCCATGGGATTCTCCAGGCAACTACTATGTGCCAGGCACCAAAATTCACAACACCCAGGAGGTGGGTATTATTATCTTCACTTTACAAATGCAAAAACTGAGGCAGAGAAGTGACTTAACTAAGGTCACCCAGAAATTAAGTGAGTGGGACTTCAGTCTAGCCCTGACTCAGGATCAGCCTCATGCCTACCTCGTGTAGCAAGATCCCCAGGTGCACCCGGGTCCTCTGTCTTTGACAAACCAACCCCTCTCACCCGCGCCCCCCGCCCCCCACCTCCCACCCGCTCTAGTTTCAGGTGGTAGGTGCTGCTGGAGGGAGGCCCAGGGCTGCCGGGGGTGGCAGAGAAACCTGCAGCTGGCACTGCCCTCCACCCCGCTGATAGCTGAGCCTGGCTGGCTGGCTGCCTGGCCTACGTTGGGCCCTGGCACCAAGCCTTGCAAGGGGATGGGCGGGCGAGTGGGGTTGGGGTGGGAGTGGGATGGGGCGACGAGAGCGGGGGTCCGGCTCCGCGTTCTACCCTCGCGGCCCTCGGGCCCCCTTCTCAACCCCCAGCCGCTCCCGACCCCATCTCGTGTCAGGGCAGTTCCCGCCCGGGGCAGGCGCCGGCCTCTCCAGCGTTACCCGCAGGCAGGGGAGGCGCCGCGGCCTCCAGGAGAGGAGGGCGGGTGATGAGGTCGGGCTAGGGCAGGGTGAGAATGCGGAGGAGAGGCCCGAGGGAAGGAGGGCGCCGAGAGGGGCGCGGGGAGGACAGCGCAGAGACCCTGAGGGATGCGGTGGAAGGGGGGGGCCGAGCCAGCCGCGAAGCCCCAGACGAGGGCGAGCACGCGGGGGACGGGGGCAGCCGGGGGCAGCCGGGGGTAGCCGGGGGTGCCGGACCCCAGAGGGGACGGAGGGGCGGGGCGCCGGGGAGGGGCGCGGACACCGGCAGGACCTGGGAGCGGGGGCCGGTGGGGCGGGAGCAGGGGCCGGAGGGCTTGCTGCCGGGGCGGGGCGGCTGTGGTTGCATCACGCTCCGATTCTGATTTCTCAGGGATCAGACCGGAGGGGCTGGTGGGGAGGCAGAGGTGGGCGAACCAGTCTGAACCGGCCGGGTAACTCGAGGGGCGTGGGCTCCGCGAACTGGGGTGCTGCCCCGCACCCTCTTCCCTCACCACACTCGGGCATTTTTCTGTGACTCCGCACCCCCGTGCGGCCCCACCCTCTCTCCTGACTCGCTCTCCCCCTCCAGCCCCTCTCCCCGTGGGCTCTTCCCAGGAATCGGTTATCCGCAGGGAGGCGGTGAGCTCAGGCCCTAACCCTCCCACTCCGACCCCTCCTGCAGAATTCAGGTTCGGTGCTGCCCTCTTTGTCTCCCCGTACCCCACCCGCCCCCAACCCCCTAAAGATCCCTTCAGGGTTCCCTTCTTTCTCTTGCACCTGGCCCGGTGCCCACAGGCGGCCCAGACCCCCTGCTGGCTGGGAGGGAAGACCCAGGCAGCCTCAGCAGAGTGAAAAACCTCACCCTTCTCTAGCGCCTGCATTTTGTACAGATCCCTGCGATGGAACGTCCTTTCGGGGATCTCTCGGATCACATTCGGAAGGGAGCCACAGCAGTCCCCCTTGTCCCTGCCCTGCCCTACCGTTTCCCTATGGCCAGTTCTTCAAATTCATCCCCAAGGCTACTGGTTCTTTTATTTCCAGGGAGCAAACCAGGAACCCTCCCTGTGGCTATGGAGAACTTCGTGGGTTGCTAGGCTTGTGGTTATTTATTTTTTTTACAAGCTTGGAGCTCTTGGTCCATGATTGCCACTGTCTGTACACCAGAGATGTTCAGTTCAGTCGCTCAGTTGTGTCCGACTCTTTGCGACCCCATGGACTGCAGCACGCCAGGCCTCTCTGTCCATCGCCAGTTCCTGGAATTTACTCAAACCCATGTCCATTGAGTTGGTGATGCCATCCAACCATCTCATCCTCTGTCGTCCCCTTCTCCTCCCGCCTCAATCTTTCCCAGTATCAGGGTCTTTTCAAATGAGTCAGTTCTTCGAATCACTTATGACTATACAGTGGAAGTAACAAACATTCAAGGGATTAGATCTGACAGAATGCCTAAAGAACTATGGAGGGAGGTTCATGACATTGAACAGGAGGCAGGGATCAAGACCAACCCCAAGGAAAAGAAAGGCAAAAAGGCAAAATGGTTGTCTGAGGAGGCCTTAACAAATAGCTGTGAATTGAAGAGAAGCAAATCAAAGGAGAAAAGGAAAGATATACCCATTTGAATGCAGAGTTCCAAAGAATAGCAAGGAGAGATAAGAAAGCCTTCCTCAGTAATCAATACAAAGAAACAGAGGCAAACAATAAAATGGGAAAGACTAGAGATCTCTTGAAGAAAATTAGAGATACCAAGGGAACATTTCATGCAAAGATGGGCTCAATAAAGGACAGAAATGGTATGGACCTAACAGAAGCAAAAGATATTAAGAAAAGGTGGCAAGAATACACAGAAGAACTATACAAAAAAGATCTTCGTGACCCGGATAATCACGATGGTATGATCACTCATCTAGAGTCAGACATCCTGGAATGTGAAATCAAGTGGGCCTTAGGAAGCATCACTATAAACAAAGCTAGTGGAGGTGATGGAATTCCAGTTGAGCTATTTCAAATCCTAAAAGGTGATGCTGTGAAAGTGCTGTACTCAATATGCCAGCAAATTTGGAAAACTCAGCAGTGGCCACAGGACTGGAAAATGTCCGTTTTCATTCCAATCCCAAAGAAAGGCAATGCCAAAGAATGTTCAAACTACCACACAGTTGCACTCATCTCACACACTAGTAAAGGAATGCTCAAAATTCTCCAAGCCAGGCTTCAACAGTACGTGAACCGTGAACTTCCAGATGTTCAAGCTGGATTTAGAAAAGGCAGAGGAACCAGAGATCAAATTGCCAGAGATCAAAAGATCTCTGCCAACCAGAGATGTTACCTAACAGATTAAATAACAGAGGATCTTTAACAGAAGTGAACCAAGGGCATCCTCAGCCCAATTCTAGGTTTTTATGGATTGAGGCCCTTGAGACCCAGAAAAGGAAGAGACGTGTCACACGTATCCTTAGTGATGGAGCTGGAACTCTGACCTCACCTCCCAGCTTCAGCCCAGTGTGCTTTCACTGTAGGGTGGCTTCATGTTGGGGACCTAGCTTAGCACCTGTGTGGCAGGGAGTCGATGCTCAGTAAGTACTGGTGAGCTGAATGAGTTAGCTCTCAGTGAGGAAGCTGGTGAAATACACTTTGGGAAGAAGTGAGAAGACCATCCCAAAGGCTCATGGGCTCAGGGCTCCATTTCCTTCTCAGGAAGAAGTTGTCCCTGAGAAGTTGTACCTTCTCTGGGGTAGTTGTCCCAGTGGTGACCACCATTAGGAGTCTGGCATCAGCTTTGGTCACTTCAAGCCCAGTCATTGTGCCCAAGGCAATTGTGGGTCTGGTAGTGGATCTAAGCATGAACCAAATTGGCAGCTCCAAGTGAGATTTATCCTGTGACTTTTCCATTTACTGCCCTCAGCCAATATTGGAACAGGTTGCAAAAGACTGAGGCGTGTCTGTTCTTGCAGGGGCTCTTGTCATCCTGGGACCCTGCCAGGCATTATGTTAGGAGACCACAGCCCACAGATCCTGAGCCTTGGGACTGGCGGCCCCTGTTCTCAGCTCTAGGCTGCCCTGAGCTCAGTGGGATCTGTGCTTCTCCCCACCTCTGGGGTCCTGCCTGCTGAGCGTGGCCTGTGAGGTGGGGGGCCGGAAAGATCAAAAGTTGGAGAAATTCAAGTCAGCGCTAGACTACTAGTCTCAGTTTCAACTAAGTATTTGGAGAGGAAATAGGATGAAATGAATGATGACTAGTTTTGGTTATAGTAGAAGCTCATGAACTTGAACCTGACTGATTTGGAACTTAGGATAGTTAACCTTAGCTGTGGTGAAGTTCACCTTTGCACTGTCTGTGGACACAGAGCCTGATGACTGAGTTAACAGTGCCCACATCATTTAGAATAGGAAAGAAAGTGCATGTGTGTGACTTTCTCTTGATGAAGAATTTATAGCAGGTCGGCTCTATTCATCTTGGTAAACATTTTATTTACAGACAGTTATTGGGCACCGTCAACATGCCAGGCCCTATGCTAAGTGTTCTGAAAGTGTTAATTTGTTTGAATTCTCGTAAGAACCCTAGGAGGTAGGAATTATCATTCTTCCCATTTTACAGACAGGGAAACTGAACCTGGTCATTGGAACATCATCAGGATTCACTCCTGGGCAGACTGGCTCTGGGGTTTGTACCCTTAATCACCACATGTGCAGATATTTCATATGCTAGGACAAGAGGAATTGGATAGGGGAAAAAAAAAAGAATAGGTCATGACCCCTACCCTTTCCAGATGCTTCTGGCACAAAGTAAGTATTCAATAAATGGATCAGTTCATTAAGTGATGGTGTGGACATGGGGTCAACTCCTTGAGGGCAAAGGGGACCTTGACTCTTACCCTTCTCCCAACCCCAGTCCAGTACTTGTGCATAACAGACATGGAACAACCAATACAGTGCAGGAACAGAGGGCGAGCAAGGTCAGCTAGTTCTGCTCTGGGTGTTTTCAGATGAAGGGACCGTCCTGTGAGGGGGAAGGGATGTGGCCAAGGCCGCGGGCTTCCCGGTCTGGTGCTCCCTCCACACAGCACACGGAGGGCCAGGTGAGTTGGCAGAGGCTGTGCCTGGCAGTCGCCCCTTGGCTCTCCTTGCCATCCTCTGCCCGTGGAGTCAGTCCTCTTCTCTTCCCACCAGGACAGGGTGAGGGGTGTGGGGACCCTCACTCTCTTTGTCTGTTGAATGAAGAGACATCCCTCCTGCTGCTGCGTCGATAACAACAACTGAGGGTCTTCCCGAAAAGGGTCCAGGAGCCACGAGAAGGCAGAGCTACCTGCAGCCCTTTGGAATTCTATGGCGCTTCCTGAAGACTCACAGATGGAAGGGCCGAACAGGGTCTTCGCGTTCATCACCCCCTCCGCCTCCCAAAACCCTCATTTTACAAATGAGAACAGTGAGGACCTGGAAGGAGGAAGTACCTGGCCAAGGACACAGAGCCCCGTAGCAGCAGAGCCAGGGCCGGAAGCGGGACGCCTGCCTCCCAGTTCAGACCTGCCCCTCGGTGCATGGACCTGTGGCTTTTGGGACGCACCGTGCAGTCCCATGGTCCACCCGTGGCCTGTTAGGGCCAGAGTTATGAGACGGCTCGCCAGGACTTGTTTGCCTAACGCTCTCGCAGCCCTCCCCGAAGGCAAACCTCCTGTCATTTTGTGACGGGTGCCCTTGGCAGCAACCAAAACAAATCCACCAAAGCAAAGAAGGGGAGTGGGGCCGGGGCCCTGGGGTTGGGCTGGCATCTGCCCCTGGTGGGAAGCTGGGCACACGGAACTCGTCAGCCTGTCAGGCCCAGATACCATCTCGTTCCTGCTTGGCACGGGTTTGTCGAGCCCGTGAGTTCCTCCTTGGCCAAGTCCTCGAAGGGAGAAGAAGCAGGACTGTTCCCTGGGCACTGGAGAAGCTTGCCAGGTGTCTCTTCTCCCCTCCCATCCACTCTGGGCCCTGTCTCCGCCCCATGACGCCTCTTTGCTGACCTCGAGGAGCATCGGAATTTCTCCCACAGGATGGAGCACATGCTCTTGGGGGTCCTGCCATGGCCCTGCTTTGGTTTGGGGGCTGCAGCGGTGGGCTCTGAGCTGGGAGTTGATGTGTTTGACGTGTTCATGTGGCACTGCATATGTGTCAGGGGCTGTTCTGAGCACTTTACATGTGTTGACTCAGGTAATCCAGCCAACAGCTTTACAGATGAGGAAACTGAGGCAGAGAGAGGCTCAGTTCAGTTCAGCTCAGTCACTCAGTCATGTCCAACTCTTTGCAATCCCATGGACCGCAGCCACGCCAGGCCTCCCTGTCCATCACCAACTCACGGAGTTTACCTAAACTCATGTCCATTGAGTCGGTGGTGCCATCCAGCCATCTCATCCTCTGTCATCCCCTTCTCCTTC